CATAAAAACTATGGGATTTTGGTAAATTCTAGTGTTTGCAAAACATCTGCCCACAGGAATTAACTGGCAATTTATTCCTCCTTGCCAAAATAATAATTTATGTAGTTCAAATATTAGACAACTTTCAAGCAGTTTTACCCACTGACAAAGGCAAGGAAATCCCCTGAATGTGGACAGGCAGAGCTATTGCCCGAAGACAAGCAGACCTTCCCAGAATCCACCAAGTGCCTGGTTCTTGAAGGGCAGTTTCCCATTTCCATCTCACCCTGTGGTTTGCAGAACATCACCACTACAGTGACACCAACAGGTCTGCACAGTCCCTTAGAATGAGAGCTGCAAAGGGAATGGCACCATGGGAGCTCCAGGACTCCCCTCATACTGTTCCCATCTCTGGTACAAACGCCACTTCTGTGGTGCTGGCAAACTCCAATACCAGTGTGAAATACCTCACATCTCTTAAGCTTGTCCTCCCTGCTCTGGAAACTACTGCCATACAGTTTCCCCAAAGCCATGTTCCTGTTCTTTAGTAAAACTGAGTCTTGAAGCATTTCTTCCCCCACCCAAATGAATCCTTAAAACAACGACATTCTTCTTCAGACAATGTCAGAAGGACCATTCAGCTTCTCCCAAATGGAAAAAGTTTTTGAATAAGTGATTTACCTACATTCAGCCTTTGCCTGAGAAGTTTAACCTGAAAGAGTCTGAATTCTCAGCTTTCATACGAGCTTCTGAACTTCTTCCAAGCTAGTATATGGCTCAGCAGCCCAACCACAATTATGGGTGGCACTGCAAGGCAGTTGGATAAAGGTGATCCCAGGTTATAGAGTTAAACATCATTATTTGCCTTTACTCCATGATATAATCAGAGCTTCATTCTCAAAAAGAGAATTGGTATCCAGGAGAAATACAAAACAAAACACTGTATTTCTAGTTCTGCTACACATTTACTGTGTGACCACAGGTGATGACCAAAATTCAACACTATCTTCCCATCTGAACAAAGCAGCATTTTATCTTTTCTCAGGCAGGCAATATGTTGGCTTCTTGATATGTAAGGAAAAGGAGATGCTCCTATCAGAGAGTTGTAGATGTGCCAAGTATTGACAGGCAAACATCATCCTGTGCACCAGGAAGCATCTTCAATTATTTTTTGGTAATTAAAATTAATTACCGGAGTCTGGTCTCTCAAATAGTCATTCACACTAAAAGAATGCTTGATTAAATCATGCAGAGTCAGAGTTATTACTGCTATAATTCTATGAGCTTTACAGAAAAATACTAGAGATGAATTAGTCCTCTTAGGTCTATTTTCCATTCCAAAATTCCTTAATGGCATTAAGAAAAAATAGAAAAGCTGGCCACAGATGTTAAATAAAGACATTTTGAGCCCAATCCTGTTTCCACAGGTTACAATGGGAGTTAGTTAGTAGGAGATCAGAACCCACAACATGCAACTACAAAAGCATTTGCTGATTTTAAGCTTTAGCTCCAATTCAGAATTTTCCTGTGCCGACTCTTCTTAACTTAGGTCTCTTTTTTTTCTCCCCCTCAGTTTTTCCATTGAGCACAAGTCTGGCAAGAGCTTTCTTTGTCAACCACCCTTTGAGTATCCACAAAACTTCTGTGATCATGTTTAGGCATTAAAAAGCCATAACAGAAACATTCCTGTCAACTGTTTTACCAAAAGATAGTCTGAGCAAGATACCACTGCAGCAGTCATAACACTAAATCCAAATCTACCATCAAAGCCCAGGCACATGTTGGCACATCACCAAGAAGCATGAACGTGCAGCAGTTTGGTAACTCTGTAGTCCAGTAGAATAGAGGAGGATTCTGAACCACCTCAGACTGTTTATAATTCAGATGTACCTCGTGTTTTGTTAAGGACTCTTACAAGACAGATTCTTGTAGGGTTTTGGTGAGCACAACTCTCCTTGCCAACAACTCTTTCTTTATGGTGCTTAGAAAGCACTGGAACTGTTCACTAATCAGTTCTAATCAAGCAGTAGTGCAGGGAATGACAGAGGCACTGTTCAGCATAACAGTTCAGCATTATGTTCACCGTGCAACATAAATTGGGAAAACAATGGAATTAAAAGCCAAATCCACACCAAGCTTACAATATAGCTTTATACAAAGAGAAGCTCCTTGGATCTGAGGTCCAACTACGTGTTGCACTCTTGTTTGCCTCATGGACCACAGAACCTCATTAAACATCAAGAAGGATTTCTCTGTGGGGCAGCTACAAATAAAGCTCTTTCTTTTTGAAGAACAATTATCTGTTGAGCAAACAACTAGACAACCTGAAGTAAATATATATTTATATATATCATGCTCATCACTTTAGTTGAGCAGTCTTCAGAAAGAACAACTGTAGGTAAATGCAGGGAACACTGAAACGCTAGCCAAGCAGCATCTTCTGGGATTTTATAGAGGACTAACTGTTCTCAAGATTCAGAGAAGCTGTTGAAGAACTTGCCACAACAGTAGTTCTTGCATTCTATTTTCAAGTGCCTAGACTTGGTCACCCTCAGGTATAAGATACCAGATTATCAGCAGTCTCACCTACTGCATCCATAGGACTCAAGACACCGGACTGTGGTGTATCCTTCAAACTCTAAGAAAAGCGTAGAGAAATAGTTTCCATAAATTAAGACAAAATAAAGTTTAAAACTGTACATTCTCCACTTCCAAACAGCTTTACGACCTAAGAAGTTATCCATCACACTAAAAAGTAAGGTCCCCTCTGGCAGTGCAGGGAAGCTGGCCTTCCGTAGAGACATGTAACAGGAGACACTGATCCATGTTTGCCAGCAGCTCTTTCTTGTATAGGTCAACTCCCTGGAGGTTTAAGTTTCAGTTACTCTACTGAATGAATTCTAACTTTTGCCAAGGAAAGGGATCTCCTACAGCATGAGAGGGAAGGGGGCAGGAGGCAAGGAAGCAAGAAGTCTGTGAGGGGAAAAAACATGAATCAAGCAGAGGAAGGTGGCAGCAGGTTTGTTGCTGGTGGTGCATGTACAGACCAAGAAGGTAAGAGAAACAAAGACCTTGGCGAGGCAGTGGAAGGATGAGGGTAAAGCAGATGGAAAAATGAATGAAACAGGAAAATGTGCAGAAGAAAAACTGAATAAAGACAAGAAACACATGGTGTGAAGAATAAAAATGTAGCTATTGAAACTCAGGATTTGAATGTAGCCCACGATGGAAGCCAAGCATTGGAACTACCAGTGATACAGAAGCTGGAGCTTCTTTATTCCAAAGATGCACAAAAACAAGGGACTAATCACACAAACCTGCAAACTAAAAGTGCACCATGCAAGACCATCTTCTTGCTCTCATGGTTGGTGTAGATGCCTAAGCCTTCTGCAAAAGCAAACTAACCACTCTCCGAGTGGATCACTTTGGCAATGAGAAAGGAATATTTATGAAGTGTGAATCTAGAGAGAAAATAAGAACAAAATACTCCCAACCCATTATGTTGATTTTCTTTCTCATCCAAAGACGAAGAGCTCCAAGAACTATCTACTTCATCTTCCAAAAGGATATAAAAGAGTCCAGGTCCTTCTTGATTACTTTGGAGGCCTAGGGCTTTTAAAGCCCTATGCAAGTGACACCAAAGATGAAAACAGTAAGGTACATAAACAGACCCTCTAGGGATAGGACATTCTGATATCACAATAAGGGACTGTGGGAAACTGTTCTTTTCTTCCCCACATAAGACAGGGACTCTCTATAAGGAAGAAAAAATAATAATAGTAAAAAAAATACAAGCTTATAGATAACAAACAAACAAAAAAAAACAAAAACACATCACAAACAAAGCAAGTTTTTCTCTAATTTCCCAAGCATTTTGTTTAAGGCATTTATAACAATACCAAACATGTATCTTGCAAGTAGGAATGCCTGTTTTTGTTTTATGGCATCTCTGGGAAAATTGAACTTTTAAGAACTGACTTCTGGAATGTCATATTCTCAGATATTCCATGGAAACTAGAAGGAGAAAGGCATTTTTTAAAGGGCTTTTCCCAACTCTTTGTCTTTTTTTTTTTTTTCCTTTCATTTGTTTTTCCTCCATAGAACAGCACATATCACCAGCCTGGAGCATCCTGTTCCTATTTCCTCTGCAAGTCACCGAAAGATATCTGACAAGGAAAGAAGAAGAAAGCCAGAGAGAAGGGATAGGAAGGGAATAGAAAACAGATGCTGAAAGAGAAGAATGCATGATGTCCAGCATAGGGGGGGGGAGGTAAAATGAGGGAAAGAACTGAGAACTCACACCAAAAAAACACACCAGGTGAAGCTTCTGGATCATTTCAGTGCAAGTTTCTGAGAGTAAAAGAGCAACAACTAAACTGCAACTGTATGTTCATAGTGTGTTCCCATGGAAAGACACAGAAATACTCAGTGCTGTCCTTGCTGTACGTGCTCTCTGCTAGAAGAAAGGGTGACTGAAGCCACTTCGGCTTCCGTGAGAACTACTAAGAGGAGACTCTGAACCGCACACAGGGCTTTGAAACCTCTTCAGCTCATCCCGCGGGCTTGTGGAAGGTCTGCCGGGATGTGTCCGCAGGGAGACAGGGGTGGGGAGGCTGAAAAAAGCCTTAGGAACGTTGGGGCAGCGGGCAGAGCCGTGTGTTGGGCAGCAGCTCGGCGGCCCCGGCAGCGCAGGGACCCCCCGGCCCGGGCCCCCCAACCCTCACCTGGATCGTGGAACGGCACCAAAGCGAAGTTGTACAGCGGCCTCTTGGGTCTTTTCAACGACGTCTCCAGGATCTTGGACGCCCCTTCGATCACTTGCACCAGGTCGTCGTACATGGAGCCGGTCACGTCAAAGACGAAGGTCAAGGTGGAGGCTCCGTCCGGCACCGCCTGCCCGCCCGGCTCGGGGGCAGCGCGGCACGGGGTGGGCGGCAGGAGCAGCAACAGGAGCTGCAGGAGCTGCAGGAGCAGCAACAGGAGCTGCAGGGCGGCCCGCCCCGCT